TTGTTGGGGGTGGGGTTTCTCCTGACAGCCAGCTGGCCAGCGGTAGGCTTGAGCCTGCAAAAATAGGGGATTCCCCCCCGGAGGCTGGCAAGCCTAGGAGCTGCTGGGTGAGACTGCCAGGTAAAAAATTCAACAAAGGGGATGTAGGTATACCTCCCGGTAAACCTAGGATAACCCCTAGGTGTTTAGAAAAAATGTAAAAACTTAAAATAGGGCTAACATTCTCCCAAATCTAACATAAAACTATCTGCAGTAACCTAATATGGCAGCTGACATTCTGTGGCCCCACCCAGGAGAAAAATTTGGGGAGGGGAGAACATGAAGGAGGGCTGGAAGGGGAGAACTTGGGTCAGCAAGGGGAGGAGGTTGGGGCCAGATCAAATGGAGGGGGGAGCAAGGGCCAGAGGCAGCAGGGATCCCTCTCCCTTCTGAGTTCTTTGGGTTCCCTGGTCATGTCACTCTCTGTCTGGACCTGTCTTTGGAGACATCCTATATATATAATTCCATTACGTATTAGCCATTTCCAGCTCTCCCATTGGCTGTGCAGTGCATTCCATCAGCCATTGGCCCATCAACCGCTACTCAAGAGTACTTGTGTGCCATTGACTGAGTGCTGGGTCTGCTCCTCTCCCCCGCCCACTGCCAGCCTGAACATTCTTCTCTCATAGAATTGACTATTAAAATGGCTGTCCTGACAAAGACACTTCTGCTTGGCTCCTGTGGGTCTAACTTTTCCTTCAATGGCTGTTGCTAGGCAACCAAGCTTGTTTCTGTCAGTAAACAGACAAAGAAAATAACCCTTTTTCAGGCCTTTGTGAAGAACTCATTGGGGCCAGTCCTGACGAGGGTTGCCAGCTCCAGGTTGGGAAATTCCTGGATATTCTGTGGTGGAGTCTAAGGAAGGTAGAGTTTGGGGAGGGGAGAGGCCTCGGCTGAATAGAATGCCATAGAGCCCACCCTCCAAAGCAGTTATTTTCTCCAGGGTGGGAGAGATCTGTTGTCTGGAGTTCAGTTGTGATACCCGGTGATCTTCAGGCTCCACCTGGAAGTTGGCTACCCTAGCAGTTAGCGCTTCAAAGAAGGGTCTGCTAGACCCAGGTTCTTGCTGTGGAAGTTGAGTGGGTGATTTTGGACCAGTCACAGACTTTCAGCCTAACCTACCTCACAGGGTTGTTGTGCAGATCAAAAGGGGGAGAGGAGAATGATGTAAGCTGCTTTGGTCTCCACCACGGAGAAAGACTACTTTTCTTCCAGGGGAATTATTGCTGCTAATCTCGAGGTGAGGGCTGGAAATCACTCAGAATTAAAACTGCTCCCCAGATGGTAGAGATCAGTTCCCCTGGAGAAAATGGCTGCTTTACAGGGTGGACTCTGAGTCAATATACCCTGCTGAGGTTTTCCCCTCTTGCTTGGGTCCCCACTGAGGAGGAGAAAGACTGTACTTTTCCTAGGCAGAGGCTGAAGGTGTGTGTGGGAGGGAGATGTAAAGCTGAAGTCAGAGGGGTAGATAAGGGTATGCTGATAGTTGACTGGGAAGGAGATAGGGTTGTCACCTCCAAGACAGGTACAATGCCATAGACTCCACCCTCCAAACCAGACATTTCCTTTGGGGAGCCATTGTTGCCAATCTCCAGGGGAGGGCTGGAGATCACTCAGAAATATAATTGCTTTTCAGATGGCAGAGATCAGTTCCCTTGGAGAAAACAGTAAGCTCTGTGTCATTATACCCTGCTGAGGTCGCCACAGCAAATTGACACTGAGTGCCCAAGGCCAGGGCACCCGCCCAGAGCCTCTTTCTAAAGCTCATTGTATGTATTTCCACAACGAGCCTTATTCCTTGTAAGAAATAAATTATTCAAAGTAGGTTTAGGGAAACATGGCTGGAGAGTTGGCAAAATGGAACAAGGGCCTATGTTTGGGATTCTGGGACCCTTAGGAAGTGCAGGTGAATAAATGGCTTTTTTCAGGGTGTGATGGGTGGGCAGCAGATGTCAAGAATTAGTCCTTGATTCATTGTTGGTGGCACTGTTCAGTGATTAAAAGATTCTGGAGCCAAATTGTACAGGAAATTAAAAAATCGACAGGATATACAATTCCAGAGAACCCAGATATGGTTCTATTAAATAATTGGCAATGTATCAATATTCCTCATATCCAGAAAGAATTGATTTCAATAGTATTGACCACTGCCAAAACGTGTATAGCACAAAAATGGAAGTCTTTGGATTCTCCTAGTATTATTCAATGGTACTCAATTATTTGGGACCATTTTATTATGGATAAGATCACTGCAGGTATCTCCGAAGCAGATCCATTACAGGATTATTTTAGATTTATAACAAAACAGTCACGCATAATAGGGAAATTAGACCAAACTACTCAGGGTATTAGCTCTTTTAGAAATCATAAATATTTTCAACGTATGCGATTTTACTAAAAGTGGATGGGTTATCTATATTAAGCTGTCATAGTCTTAGCACATAGTTTTTAAAGTTTTTATTTTCTTAAATTGTTAATATTTTGACTTTTATAATGTTGTAGTTGTTGTCTACATACTGTAATTTGTCCAACAGTGTAAAAATTAAAAGTATTTTTAAATCTTAAAAAAAGAAAGAAAAAGAATTAGCCGATACCTGATGGCCCGCTGCTTCTAGAAGTTTTACAAAAAAAGTTGGACTAGATGGAGCTTGGTCTGTTCCAGGAAGGTGCTTTTATTCACATGCAAGAGCCAGGATTATGTTCCATAAATTAATCCATTTGTTTTGAGATTCTGTATGCATTTTTACTTTGTAATCTGTCAACACTTCTCTGGTCTAGGGAGATTCTAATGTTTTTGTTGTTGTTGTTAAATACCAGAACTGAGGCCGGATGATTCCTGCTGTACCATAGAGAAGATGTGAAGGAGAAACTGTGCAGTAGTGTGGTTAAAGAGTGAAGACTGAGATGTGGGTGATCTAGAGTCTATTCCCCACTCAGCCACAAAATTCACCAGCTAACTTTGGGCAGTTCCTCATGTTCAGCCTAACCTACCTCATAGGGTTGTTGAGAAATACAGAAAGCCAGTGGAGCTAGCCTGAGTTTATCAGAGGAAGGATGGAATACAAATGCAAAAATAGCTTAAAACCCTGGTGTGACGTCACTTATGTTTTGCCTAAATCCTAGAATGTTGCATTAATGGCACAGCTGCAATGTGATACCACTTCTAGTATTAGCTGGAATACTAGTGCCATCCCCACCCCCAAGTGGGTAGACTATGCGGGTACATCCCCACTGACCTCAGTCCCCTCCCACCCCACTGCAGGCAGGCCTGTAGATATGGTGGGGCTATTTGAGGCTTTGTCCCCTTTCCGCCCCACAAGATTTTCTCCTGTAAAAGCTTTTTAAAAGAGAAATTACAGCCAAGGAGTGGTGGGGTGAGGAGATTGTGGGGAGCTAGGTTTAACTGGAAAATTCAAGCCCCCCTTCCCCCCCAATTGCCCCCCCAAGCCACAAAATCCTGGCTACCGGCCTGTCTAAAGGTATAACCTATTTAATTCAAGGAGCAATATCTAATAAACTGAGGGAGTTCACATATATGACAGTGTGATCCCACCTTGTGACACTTGCATTTATGAAGATAACAATAAAGACATAGTATTTGGAACAATAATTAAGCATATGCAACAATCAAGATGTAATAATTCAGGACTGCTGTATTAAAGCAGACCAGGGTCTCAGTCTTTCTGACTGCTGTGCTGTCTAACCATTCCCTTGAAGATGCATCAGCTTGCAGTTCTGCTCTGTTTCTGTTATCCCTAAAATATTAATATATAGAAAGGAGTGCTTCTCCCTGCAGCTTCAGGCCTTCTAAATCCTTCAGGGAAAATTGTGCCTTTTTTTCCTTATAAGGAATACCCCAACTCTTTCACTCCCCCTGGTGGATTAAGGGTTACACAGGCTTGCTCCCAAATCGCCAAGAATTTCCCTAGCCAAAACTGGCAACCCTATCGAAGCTCGGAAAGGGTATTAGCAGGGAGAAACTTCTTGTAGGTGGGTCTACTTCGTGGTGTCTCTCGCTTGTCCTCGGCGACCCTCCCTTTAAAAGGCGTTCCAGGCAAGCTAGGCCTTAAAACCGGAAGTACGCCTGTTTGAGGAAAAGCGGCTTTCAGAGACTGTGATTAGAGACTGGGCTCGCGGGGGGGACGCGGGGGGGGGGGGATGAAGGTCAAAGCCGGAGGAGTTGGTGCTTCTCCCACCCAATGATGACCCTCTCTTCTAAACAATCCTCTTGCCCTTACACTCCCCCTTATCTCGGTAAATGTGTGGTTGCATTTAGTGAAACAATGGCCTGTCTAGCTCCGTGGTTTACGTTCTGCTCTATATGTGAAAAACGCAGATCGTGTGAGGTTGGAGCTGTTCCTAATGACATGGCAAACCCAGAGTGCGGCGTGGCGAAGAATGAGCTCTGGCTCACGAATGACTCACATCGCAAAACATCCGCGAGTCTTTGCTGCAGCGTTGCCCTATATCTATCCCCCCCCCCCCCCCGAAGTCTCATTCGGTTCATTAGGGTTTACTCTTAGGGAAGCGTGTGCCGAGTTGCCTCCTTAACAAGGCCGAAGGGAACCCGCAGTTTTTGCCGCGCAATAGCCTCACGCGGGCGGTTACCCTTCTGAACTGAATTTCCTTCCCGAGGGGAAAAAACTGTGAGAGGCTAAACCGACACACACTTATAGTGGGTTTTTGATTTCCGAAGAATTATTTACATATATTTAGGAGCTATCTTAGCCAGGGGGAGGCGTTCGAGAGACATTTTGCAGCCTCTTAAATAACAGGAGTAACAGGAATTTTTAGAGGGGGGGGCAGCAAATACAGGCGTTTCTGCCACCACGAGGCGGGCATGTCTCGCGCAGCGCGTGGTCCACAGACTTGTTGCGCCGTCCCTGTAGCCCTAACGCGCAGGCGGGGTTCACGTAGCCAATCAGGCAGGCTGGCGCCATTCGGGGGCGGGCGCTGCTCGTTCCTCCGCCCCTTTGTCAGCCTCGTTGCGGAGGAAGCGGCGTCAGAGAGGCCTGAGGCGGGGAAGCGGTCGCTGCAGCAGTTTCAAGGAGGTCGAGGAGACAGGCGCCGTCTCCACCCGCGTTCGAGCCGCGAGGGTCGTAGCCGCCATGGATTACGGGGAAGGTGAGCGCCCGTTGTCCCTTCAACAAGCCGTACAGCCACGGGGAATGAACAGGCAGGGGATTGATTGTGGCTCAAAATGGCGGCCGGCGGGAGCGGCTGCGGAGGCGGGAATGGCGGCCGAGGCCTAGGCGAAGGGCCTGCGTTGGGAAGCACAGCCAGGCCTAGCAACGGCCCTTCTCTTTAGCATGAGGGTGTAGAACTCGTGTTGTTGAGTCTCACCTTATTGTTTGCGGCAACCAGTATAGGCTTCGTGTCCTAATAGTCCCCCGCCCTTACTTGTGTGTAAATCCCGTGGAGTTGAGTAGGATTTATTTTCAGAGTAGCCATATCCTGGTGTTTAGACGGATATTGGTGTAATCTGAACATGGAAACGAGCAGGGTGGTCCCTGCAGCCGCTTCTTGGATGCACATTTGGGACAGTCCTTGGTGGAAAGGGGGTAGGGTGACTGTAAGAGTTGAGGGTTCGTCGGCAGGCTTAAGTGGGAAGAGAATTAAACGTACATTCTTGTAGCACTCTCTCTTCAGAGGGGTAACCTCCCTAGTTCACTGGAGCTCACGGGAAGCCTTGTTCTGAAACTGCCTCGGCTTTGTGAAAACGGCTTAAGAACTCGTCTTGTACTGTTGAGGCGTACCTGCCTTTATTCCCGTTTCCCATGTAGGATATCGAAGCCGTGTGTACCTGTACAAGATCTAGTCATACACATCAAAGGCATGGATAGTTTGTGATATTATTTTTTAAATTTATTCACGTAATTTATACTCTGCCATTCTTATTGAGGATCGAAGCGGACTACACAATACAAGTCAGTAAATCAACTGGATGGGGCATCTAATAAACAGTGCAGTAGAATTTGGATTTCAGAAATCTGGAACCAAAAAATCTGAAGCAGAGCATAATCATTGATGTATTAAACGATGTGGGATTTCCATAGTAGAGTCTTTAAGTAGTGCAACAGTCAGTACAGACTTTGCACAGAAGTGTATTCACAGACCCTGACCCTTTATCAAAACATTTTTCTGCGCCTCCCTTTTTTACAGTGTAGTGTGTTAAAAAGCCTTCCATAGAAATTCAGTTTTGCATAGTTTTCAGAGAACCAGGAGAGCAGGAGCCTTCCTGACCATCTCAGGCAGGCCATTCCATAAACTGGGGTACTCTAATAATTATTTGCAGGTTTTTGGTAGGGAAGATGCATATTAAGGGTCAACTTGGTACGTTCTTTTCCTGAATAAGTATATAAGGTTCCATGGATGGGCTTGCTTGTCTCATTTAGACAGCATTCAGATGTTAGCAGACAAAGGCTTGTTCACACTCAGCCTAGCCACCTCACAGGTTGTTGTGACAGTATAAGTGCTTTGTTTCCCACTAGTTAAAAAGGTGGGGTATAAATTGTAACCAGCATGAACTTGGCTTGTAGTTGTGTTTGATACCTTTCTTCCTCTGTGGAAAACATACATAAGGTCCTCCTGAAATCAAACTTGCCATATCTGCAGAAATTGGAGAATCCCCCCCCCCAAGAAACGGTGATTTTCAGCCAGAACAAAACAGTGTCATGTTGACAGAAATGGCACCTTAAAGGCAGTGTATATAAAAGCTCTTCTTTGCTGTGAAATTATACATTAAAATTATATTACATTTGTCCACCAGGTGGCAATCCAAAGCACAAAAGCAGAATAGTAAAGCTAGTTTTCTTTAGTCTTATTTTCCTTGACTAAATTTTCTAGATTACATCTCTCCTCCCAAAATGTAATTGAATATACTTGCTTGGCTAATTACTCCATTCCTGCCCTGTAACTCAGGGGTCTGTAATATGGTGTCCACAAACACCTTTTCTTGTGCCTGCCAGGTGTTTTTAGAAAGCAGTTGGGGTCAGATAGGGCTTTTGCCCAACAAGGCTTCTGATTGACTCATAGATTTGATTGACTGTGCAGTTTTTTAAGATGGTGCTTTCACAGCAGTTACTGCTGCAGCAGAGATCTACACTGTTACTGAAGGTAAGCTGTGACAGTCTTTTTGTGTCTGGCTCCACCTCCTGCGACAGCCATTTTGTTGCTGCAAGCATCATGCCATGTCAGAATTCCAGATGTATCCACAGGCTCAGAAAGGTTGGGGACGCCTGCTGTAACTGATGTAAGCATGCGTCATTTTATTTCCTGTGTGCCCCGGCCTACACAACTATTGTATTTTCCCTAGGGATGATAATGTCTTTAAGCGAAAGGCTATTGTGTTATTGTTATTGTGTTATATTGGGGGCCCATTCACATGGAGAAGTTGCTGCGCTAAAGACACGGATGATAGGTGGATTTTTGGTGCGTGATCACACCGCAACATCTGGGAAGGATAGTACACTCGTGGCTAACCCATGGCTTCTCGCCAAAGATGTGGAATAAAAAACTACCACATGCGATGTACTAGTTTCCGGAAAACGCGGAGCAAGGGTGGGCATCTGATCGCGTTTCCGCCTGAATCCTGTGGCTTCTGGCGCCCGTCCATGTCCCATCGCACACCGGATGTTTATTGTGTGTATAAGTCACAGGATACACACAAACAATTATGCGCATGCGCAAACTTCAGTGTAAAAAAAAATTCCCGTTTGCCACGGAAGCGGTGCCTAGTGATTGCTGGTGTGATTGCGCCGCTTCTTTGCCGCGCTGCAGGATAGCCGTGTGATCCGCACCTGATGGCCTAACCACAGGACCTCGATGGGACGTGATCGGGCTGCCGCACGTTACTTTGCTCCAGGGCAAACAGCCACGCTTCCCCCCGCATTTTCTGGCCCATGTGACCGGGACCTGCATTTAGTTGTTTAGGATAAATATTTTATCCTAATATATATAGGGTTTAGTTTAGGATAAATATTTTTGATGCTGATATCTTTTTAAAAATGAGACTTTCCCACCACAATATTTCACTTGTTCCAAACCAGCACAATGCAAGTTCCTATTACTTTGCTGGTAGATTCTAGCTGACATCAACATTCTTTATTAAGGCCCCTGTCACATGTGCCTGAAAAAGCCGGGGGGGGAGGAGGTGTGGCTATTTGTGGTGCCGCAATTAGCCGTGCGACAACGTGATCAGATGCATTGGCGGCAACCCATGGTTCCGGCCCTCAGCGTGTGTGCAGCAACAAAGACGGCTGGAGGGAAAAGCCGCATTGGTGTGATCACACCAAGGGACTCCGGAGGCAGCCCATGGCAAACTGTTTGCTACTATGTTCGAGGAGGTATTTTTTTATCGTGCATTTTCAGCGTCATGCCACAGGTTGGCCACGGGTGCGCTCCACTTGCCAGATGTTGTGGTATGATCGCTCCCGGAAAATCCACCATCCAATCGTGGCTCTCCCACGGCAAATTTGCCGTGTGAATGGGGCCTATAACATATAAAAAAGTACCTTAGGCCTCCACATTATCCATGACTACCCAAAATAGCACTTGGTTGTGCTCAGCTTTATGAAACTATATTTTTCTATGATGCATTGTAAAAAATGAAATAAAGATCTGCAGAACTATGCAGCCAAATGCATTAAAAGATGCAGCAAGGAGCTAAAGGAGTGGAAGAAGAAGAAGAAGAAGAGATTGGATTTATACCCCGCCTTTCACTTGGAGTCTCATAGTGGCTTACAAACTCCTTTCTCTTCCCCTCCCCACAACAGACACCTTGTGAGGTAGGTGGAGCTGAGAGAGCTTTTTCCAGAACTGTGGCTTGCCCAAGGTGATCCTTGGAGGAGTGGGGAATCAAACCTGGTTCTCCCAGATTAGAGTCCATGCACTTAACCACTACACCAAACTGGCTTGGTGACTGGCAAAACCAAGCTGGTGTAGGTCCTGGAGACGGAGATGCGAATGTTAGGGTTGGGCACTTAAGAGACCAAAAAACCCTAATCAAATCTTGATCAGTTAAATGCTTAAGTACTTTATTAGAACAACCAAAAAGGTAGTTTAGCTCATTTGATACTTGTACTAATTGTCAAAACAAATTTGTTAATGTTGTCGAAAAGAGCAAGAGTCCAGTAGCACCTTAAAGACTAACAAAATATGTGGTATGGTATGAGCTTTCATGAGTCACTGCTTCTTCAGTGACACGGCTAACCCTCTTGTTAATGTTCTGTGATAACTTAATGCTTTAAGAGTCTTAATGCAACTTATGATTTTAATGTAATTACCTGTTTTTATGTAAGGGGGGGGAGGAATCTGAATAAATAAATAAATAATGCTGTAAGGTTTCTTTAAATGTGAATGATGACTGAAGTATTATTTTTGGCATTTTTACCTTGGGAAAAAAGAAAGCCAACCTGCAGTTACAAAGTATGAAAAAATGTGGAATAGCCATAAAGCCACATAATGTGGAGGGGTAGTCTCATTTTGTTATCAAGCAAGATGCAGTTAGGGTAGTCCTAGGCAATGACCATTGGTAATGATAGTTTCTTATGTTCCTTTTTGGAGATGCAGTTAAAATGGTGCTGTTAGGTTAGCTCTGCTACAGAGTTAGGTGGCAAGCAGCCTTTACTGCTGTTCTTACTAACAGATGGCATTATAATGAAATAAACATGGTCAGCTGCAGTCTGCACAGTGGGATTCTTGGCTGTGATGGAACATATGACTCTGATAAAATAATTAGTCAATTCAATGACATGCCAACCCTAGTTACCCTTCAGAAAGATAGTGCTACATGAAGGTACAGGTTCTTTGCCTGTTGTTAGTAACAACTTTTGTAGTGTCATATCATTGACTCTCTGATCTACAGAGGGAGATGTGTGGGTCTTAGTAATTTAATTCTGTTAAAGTAAGACTTTCTTTCTTAGAAATGGATCGTGACTATGGGCATGGTGCCTATGGTGGCCCAAGAGCTATGGACTCTTATATGAACCAGTCATATGGAATGGAGAGTCATGGAGGCGGCGGTGGAGGTGGTAACAGGTAAAATGCTGAATTAGTTGCCTTGAGTATTAATTGTAATTAAATTTAATAGTATATTTTGGTCCAATTTAAGTGTTCCTTGAGGATGCTGCATTGATGCACTGTGCATGTGTTTTAGAATGTCTTTTGCTTTTTGAAATGTACACTGCTGCAGTGCATGTTCTATTTCTACTGTTAGTTTGAATCTACTAGAGCTACAGCTTTTTGTAGTGAGGAGTATCTTTACCATTAATATATCAATATGGAATTTATTGTTCGACTCAGCATTTCTCTTTTAGCATTCTGTTTACAAGGAACATTTAAATTTTAACTCTGTTAATGTTAATATAGTGCAAAAATATTCACGGGTAAACTGTCTCATGTCCAGATTATTTTATTGGCAGGTACTAATTACACTGAATTATGTCTGTTCAGTCTACTTTACAAATTTTGGCAGTTTATGTGGTTAGCATTGTAGAGATATTTCTGGTAAGCTTTTGAATTTGTACTATGCCTGCACTTCATGTTTACTAACTTGCAATTCTTAAGCAAAATTGGGGTTTTTGTAAGATCTACACATTCATCAAAAAAAGAAAAGAAAAAACACTGGATGAAGTATTATACTTGTGTTCTCATCCATATGGCTGTGAAAGACTGCAGGTTGGCAACTCTGATTCTACAAGTTCTGTTATGATATGAATTACTAGGGAAATAGAAATTTGTATATATTACTGCATAGTTCTATTCAACAGCTGGTTGAAATATCTAATGCTTGGGTGTTTGCTTAGCTAACTGCCCTGAAAACTAGTATTTATCTGTACCTGCCATTTAGTAATCTGCATATGATTGAAACTCACTAGTCCTCATGAATACATTGACATTTTTTGCTGCTGTAAGGCACTGTTGCGTAGATAGCCTTTTAAATATGCAAGTTTTGTTTCACTGAATTTTTTTTAATGGGGAAAAATTATTATACTGTTGTAGGCAAGGGCAGTTACCTTGGTAGTTTGTTTCCTTTTTTCTTGTTTACTGTGTGTTAATGCTTTGGATAGACTGATAACCTCCCCTTTCCACTATAGTTGTACATGACAGTAATGTCTTCCTGGTTGCTCCATTTTCTAATTCTCAGTAACTAAACTGTTGCATTTGGCTTTTGGTAACAAGTGTTGCCTGTATATACACAGCCAATTGTGATCACTGTATTTCAGTCATACTGAAGACCTGTTTGTGTCTTTTCAGTTCTGAAATAAGGTACCTGCCTTATCCTCGAGGATATGCTAAATATAATATTAAAGGATGGGGCATACTGGCAATTGTTACCTTTGTGTTTGGAAGATCACATTTTGCAAAAAGCAAATGATCTAAAATACAAACGAGCAGTAAACCTATCAAGGTTTAAAAGAAAAAGTATAAAGTTTTATGAATTGCCTCTCATTATTGGTACCTGTCATGACCTTCCCAGTTAAGGACAAAGCTATTTTCAATGTTGTTGAACTGTTGTTAGGCATGGCTTTAAAGGTAGACAAATTTAATTAACTTTTAAGTCTGTGCAGATGCCTGCATCTCTTAAGACTAGGTCTGGGCACAAACAATGAGGTTTAAATACTACTGAGAAATGAAATTTAGTAAAATTCACGTATTTGGAACGGTAATATTCTATTTATGGAAAAGTGGCTCAGATAGCTTTCTGTCTGGTCATGACTTGGAATTGCCCAGACCTAATCAAAACAAACACTACCAAAGTAAAATATACATTGATTTTAGTTGATAAATGTCAACTGATAAACTGTCTTTTGAAATGTTTAACTTTAGTAAGCTTACTTTTTTTTTCCTCACTGCAACTTTTCCAGGTTTGGACCTTATGAGTCTTATGACTCCGGGTCTTCTCTGGGTGGGCGAGATCTGTACAGATCTGGCTATGGTTATAATGAACCCGAACAAAGCCGCTTCGGAGGTAGTTATGGTGGTCGATTTGACAGCAACTACCGGAATAGCCTTGACTCTTTCGGAGGTAGAAACCAGGGCGGGTCTAGCTGGGAAGCACCTTACTCACGCACAAAATTGAGGCCTGGGTTTATGGAGGACAGAGGAAGAGAGAGTTACTCTTCCTACAGCAGTTTTTCTTCACCCCATATGAAGCCTGCACCTGTAGGCTCTCGGGGGAGAGGAACGCCTGCTTACCCTGACAGTGGATTTGGAAGCAGAAACTATGATGCTTTTGGAGGACCATCAACAGGCAGAGGCCGTGGCCGAGGAGTAAGTACAGAATCTTTTCAGATTCTTTTCACTAGTCACTCTTTTAAACCCTTTCAAGACCATAGCATTTAAAAAAATGGCACTGTACATCACAGTGCACTTTTGGCCAAACTGTTAGGGTTGATGACCTTCCAATCCCTTTTGGTGTTTACTTAGAACATCATACCCAGTCTCTCTTCATTTTGCAAGTAAATGCACTAAGACATTAGTTGCTAAGGTTTTATCAAATCTCTCCTTTTGTTTGAAAGGTGAAGATTAAGGCAATGGGTTTGGTCTAAAAGGGATTAAAAGGAATTGCATTTTTCCTTGTCAACACTAGCATCTTGGCTAGTGGGAGAAATTTTGAATCACTGTAAAGGTTAATTAGAACCTTTCTCAGTTTTGAGTAGGTTAAAGGTGCAATGTATGAATGCTAATAATTTTAAGGAGCAAATGCTACAAAGCATATTTTGTCTAGGATGGCAGGCAGTTAGATCTTCATACACATTCTTACTCAAACTTAAGGTCCCTAGACTTACATGGAGGGGAGGGTCTAATAAAGGTACGTGATAAAAAAAGAAGCTGGTTTTAAAAATCACAGTTAATAGGACACCATCAACTTGAAATCATTACCAAATGCAAGCTAATTTATGAAAAGTTTTGGTTTTTCTAATTGTTTTATAATGCTGAATGCGATATTTCAGCACAACTTCAAGTGGTGTAATTGGGCACGACATTTATAAATTCAGGTATTAGCAACAATTTATTAAAAGGTGCTATACACCTAAAAGCATATTTCAGGTTTATGATGATGTCCCATCTGACTCAAAGTACAAATAGTTCAGTTAGTGAAGCTTTTATTAATCATATGTATGCTATCTGAAAATTAATAGTATATTTCTTCAAGACGTCTTAAAGAAAAACAGGTAGCTTACTGGAAGGTAACTTTTTAGGTCTTCTGCATGTCTAAGCTGCTTTTTAAAAAATGGTTCTACCTGCGTGGCTTTCATAAGGGTATAATTGGCATAATTAGTTTTATCTCACAAAGATGTAAACAGACCCAGTAGCTTTCTTGTAGTTTGATAACAGACTACTTTGCGGATCTGTGTAGATTGTCAGACTTTATTTTTTTTACAGATTTCTGAGCTTGAGTTAGTTAAAATTTAATGCAAAAATCTTACTGACTAAAGTTTAGCTTGCCTCTCTTGAACCCTGAATACTTTGAGGATATATATGCTAATTCTTAACCGTATTTAAAATGCATTGCACCTTTAATAGATTATGGAAATATTTGCTCATGAAAAGTAAATTTAGAAAGTGTCCTTTGATTTATGTACATGCTACATGGAGATATTTCTAAAATGTTCTTTACTAAAGGCCTTTGATTATACAATTTGTAGAGGAGCTGAAATTTAGAACAGATGCATGGATTTTGTTAGTATAATTATATTGTAATTATTTTTAATATATTGTTGACTGATAGAATTAAAGGTTAGTTACAGAAGGAAAACATTTTACAAATCTGCTGCCTTAAATCTTAGTAGATTTAGCTTTTTAATATTAAAGATATAAGTTGTCTTTATGGCATTATACATATTTCTGCTTATATGATTTCACTTATCCAGTCAATTGAGCTTTCTTGTTTATTACGGTAATTAAATATATCAGTAAAAAGCTGGCTTGTAATTTGGCATTCTGCTAGTTCCTTCTCTTCAGTTTTCTTCAGTGCCTTTTAAATTGGTTGGTGTCATGGCTTTAAAGCATCTGTATCATTAGCTAGATGTCTAAAATATGGACCAAAAGAGAGAAAATAGACTTTTCATGTCTGTGGTTGACATATTTGGATCCTTAACTGCAAAGATTCCTGTACCGCCGCAGAGAGAACTGGATATGAAATAGATTATATTTTACTGTGGTTACTGCAGGCAATCCTCTTGATACATATGGTGGAAAGGAAGGGTTTGGAAGTTAGCAGTTTGATATGGGCAACCAAAATATACTACTTGTGTTCAACACTGGGGAGTTATGCTATTGCCTCAAAACATACAAGATAGATTTTTACTGATTTACTTAGCACTCAGCAGATAGTCCTGTCGAGAAGTGGGGGGTGTATTTGAAGAATCTGAAGAGAGGGACTACAACTATAACTGTACTGGTGTTTATGATCTGGACTAATGACTTTGAATAAGCAGAAATCAATTTAATATAAAACTTTTATGATCAAGTAATTGAAAAATTAATGAGCTTGCTACTTTGTATGTTAATTTACTAGTTTGTTTTCTACTAAGTTAGAATGTTCATAAATATGACTGTGTAGTAATTACATTGTGTCCAGTCAGCCACATCATTTTCTAATACTTGTTCTTCACCTATTTGCAGTACATGGGAGACTTTGGAGGCATGCATAGACCTGGAATTGTGGTTGACTATCATAACAAACCCAGTACTGCAGCAGTAGCTGCACGAGGAATAAAGAGAAAAATGATACAGCAGCCATATAATAAACCAGGTGGGACATTTATCAAGAAACCCAAACTGACAAAACCTAATGTGAAGATGAACCAAAACAAACCTAGTAAGTAATTGAATGAAAGATGCGAATTATAGCGCTATTTAACTTTTTTCTGAGAGGACACATTTATAATGCTTTGCTATTCTTCATTTTTCAGCCTGAAAGCCCATCTAAAAGTGCCTCTTCATAAAAGAGGTTGATCTTTGCATAAACTAGAAATTTTAATCTGGTATTTGGAAAATTAGGTTGTTCTATCAGATTTGTGCCTATATTCTATGTTCCTGTGTTGAACACTTCGGTGAAAATTCAGTCCCTTTGGTTATGAATTGATGCATATATTTTGAAATCCATTCTAGCTTATTTTATTGTGAAGACTGCTTGCTAAATGAAATCATGCAGTTAAGGCTGTCAGGCACAGGTTGTTACCAAATGAACAAATTGTTACTGTGAAAAAATCTGAAAACTTAATTTATTTTTCAGTTTAAAATTTAGTGGAAGAGGATGAAAAGCAAGTATCTGTCCTGGAGGGTTTTTTGGATTTTTGTGTGTGCAGGCATTAGTAGCTGAGCAGTAGAGTGGTATGGAATTGGAGCAAATACTGGACTCTGCTATTCTTGCTTTTTTCTTTTTGAAAGTTCATTGTGTGGCATTTGTCGGAAAAATAAAATATTTCTAGTCCTACTCTGGAACATCACAGTAAATGTCAACACCCACGCCTCTTGTAGAACATGTCTAGCCTGATTACAGTTTAACTAGAGTGATTAAATCTGAGAGTTGTGATTAATTAAACACGAGCAAACTGGCCTCCCATTTTGTGGCCTCATGTGTTGGAAATGGGGTTCCAGTGCCACATGGTTTTTTTACAGCACAAGCAGACTATAGCTTTGATATAGGAAAACGTCATTGAAAACTAGAATGTTTAGGGCTGCCAAACCGCGGCGGGAGATCCGGGACAGCGATCTGCGTTGCACCGGCGTCGCCAGGATGTGACGCTACGCGTTGCCCTGGCAACGGGACTCCAAACAGCCCCGTTGCCAGAGTGACGCGTAGCGTCACATCCTGGTGACACCGGTGCAACGCGGATCGCTGTCCCCCCGCGACAGCGATCCTGCGACGACGCACGGATCCCCCGCCGCGGTTTGGCAGCCATAAGAATGTTTCAAGAGTTTAATGAAAACTGAGAAGGTAAAACTTGTTCAGAGGCAGGCAAACTCTTAAGCTCATGATTCATACAAAAAGCCTGACTCTGTGTTTGTGTGAGTGTGTGTGTGTGTGTGAGAGAGAGTGCTCGGAATTTTAATCTTTCCCTTCACAAATTCTTTGGGAGTTAGGCTTGGCTAGTTAAGCTTGTGGTCCTTAATTAAGATAAACAAGGTATGTGTTTGAGTAGGCTCTGTTGCACGGACCTGGCATGCATATTGGTTGCAGCACGTTGCTGGACACACCATCATGTATCAGGTGGAGGTTGCTTTGCCCATTATAAGTGTTGACAAGCAGGTGCCCTTTACAATATGGTCCCAAAATGAAATGCTTCATTTTACTCCCATTAAATGAATAACAGCTATTTGCTTACATGTGTAAGTAAAATAATATTTTTAGGGACACTGAGAGCAGGTCTGAGGCTCTATATTTTACCAGCTTTCTTGTGCATTTGTGAATCATTCAGTAAAAGATTTAGTTTCTTGTTGCCTCCCTATGTTCTGTGCCAGGGGTAATGTATGTTATATATGCATGGTCTGTGCAACAGATACGTGTAAAGTGTAACGGTAACTTTAGACATTTTTCTTCTTGCAGTATAAAAGATTTAGCTAGGTTAAGAGCTTTCTCTTTTACAAGAAACAATATTGCTATCCATATGGCAGCTTCCTTTCTGCCTAAATTTTCTTAATTTAATTTTAACGACTTCAAGAAAAAAGACTTCCACTTGTGCCTTATAGTTGTGATTTTTTCTTATATTTTCTTCTCCTGAAAATAACTTCAAAACTTGTCTTAAATATACACCATCACATTGAGAACTAGCTGTTATGCTTTGACTTTAGATTTAAATATCATACTGTACTCAGACATATTGTAATTTTTATAAAAGGTTCACTACTACCCTTACACATGGCCTTCTTTTTCTTACATAATCAGCAAGTTCACAGAAGTTGTGAGCAAGATTCTATATTATCTGCTCTCACAGGGCTTGGTGGTCTATGAAATGCTTTTAATTGTTGCATATGCTTTGTACTGTTGGAGCTTGAGTGTAAACATGGAAAATTCAACTGATTGTTCCAAAAAATACAAAAACAAATCTTTTATGTGTAATGCATACAGCACTTGTGAATTGAAAATTAGAGGTGTGTGCAACAAATGAATGGAAAACCAGTTACACAGTATGATGCTATAACCCCACAATTCTATGATAGTTGTTTTTTGGTTTTCATAGACTGCTTTATGTAAAAGTTCTTGGGAAGAGAGCTTGCCTAAGTCAAATGATATATGTTTATTTTAATATGACTTGTTACTGCATGCCAACAGTCTTTCTTCAATGTATGTTCGGTTCTCTATAATAAAGCTTCCTATTTTTCCAGTTTCTCAAGGATTTAAACAAATTGTTAGGTGAGACAGAACATGCAGTTTGATTCTCTTTAAAATTATTCCTCCTTTCATGCTAATAGACCCAAGGACACCAAGCAAGAAAACTGCTCCTGAGGTAAAGAGCTCTAGATTTGCAAAATGTTTTTCTTTGCAATTAGTGCTAGAGTGCATCCTCTGCATTACAGTAGCAGTCAACATGCTTCATCTTTGCAGTTAAACAATAAGGCAAACATGTCTACAGGCATGGTAGGCTTTGAGTGTCTTTTCTCAGAGCACTTTCCTTGGAGAACTTGCACAGCAGTTTTTGATACATTATGATAAACTGCTGTTGGAAACAAGACTGAGAATCTGTGTGTGTGGCTACACTCCAGAGACTTTTAAGCAGTTAGCATTTTATAAATTCCAATAATCTTACTCCAGCTATTGATAGCTGACAGTTGTTAGTTGTACATCATGTTTAGTTTTATTAAGGGATTACTGAATACAAGATTAAGACAATATTCATAACAAGTGTTCATCTCCTTAAAGCTATAGATATAAAGACTAAGTCTGGATATCTTAAAACATTTTATGGAATTTGTAGTGTCTAGGAGAGCAGAAGTCAGCTCTGTGAGGAAATACTTCTGAGCCTGTAGTACCTTATGTGAGATTATGGCTGGATTCCATATAAATGTGTTGGATTAAAATCTGGATTGTACAGACAGATAACAGATGTTGAGTCATCAAAATGATCAACACATTACCAATTTGATCTGTTCCATCTGGTTTATTGAAAGCAAGTTGTTAGTGTTACCTTCTCTTGAATTATCAGTCTAAATAAATACGTATATTAGAAAAATGGTGCATGTCTGGTTGTCATCATAACACATTGGAATTTGAAACATAAGTTTATGTTATGTGAAACCAATATCTTACCATTTGATTTCTGCACCAGGAATTCTGAACCATTTTCCAACTCTGTAGACTTAAAAAAAACTATATTCCTCAAAATCATAAACAGTCAAAACAGCTTAAATACAAAAGTTGGCACACAGTTAAACTAGTGGCATAAACATGGTCAATTACTACATCTTTTCCAAACATGAAAGTATTTTATCTTAGCAGAATAAAAATATTGTCATGGTTTTTCTAAAAGCACCAGTGGAGAAAGGGTGGTGTGCCATGAGACTGACAGAAAAGACCTTTATTCCAGTAGGATGCACCTGGTTTCATTTTACAGAGGAGCAAGGGCTCACTAGAAGATTGCAGTCCATGAGAGAGAGAGCTCATAAGCGATGATGTACTTCTTGAGGTTGAAGGAGCAGCTGAGTATGAAGGCCGAAGAAGGGAGGAACGATAAGTGAAAAATTATGAGAAGGATAGAAAAACGTGTGTGTGATTGTAAAAAGAAAGTAGAAGGATCCTCCTGAGTTGGTCAGCTGTGTACAAAACCCAGAATGTATCATTTTGCAATGAACTCCACTTTAATTCACATGAATCACTACAGCAAATTGGATTGAGATTACTACTTCATTTACTGGAATTCATATGGCACATTTTGTCAGTTCTTCCGTTTACACTGGAAACTTGTGCATTTGACCTTTCATTAGGGTAATGAAGCTGAAGCAGGTGGCCCAGTTATGGATGAAGATTTTACAGAAGATGCCTATGATGGCATCTATCAGGCCTTCGTAAGCCTGCTTATTTTATTAGGTAAAACTCGAGATACTGTGCCTCCAACAATATCCAGAAAAGCTGCTCCAGACGTTCTGTCTTGCTGTGTTTTCCAAAACAGATAACTTGTAGGTAGTCAGAGGTTTTGGTTGTGGCAAACACTTGTTGCTCATGATAACTTCTTCCTCCCTGCATCTAGATCCACTTATTTGACTTTTTTGCCTTTAGTTTTAGCATATATGCCATCATTTAAATATATTCTGTAGTATCGACCATGTTTACATTTGTAGCTAATGCATATTTCATCGATATTGATTTTAAAGTAGTCCAATTATCAGCTGCTCTTCACCATAAATTGGTTGTGTTTGTACGTGCTGCATATTAAAACAGGTAAACTATTTCTAGGAGACAGACGTTTCAGTTGCTAAGCTATATCTTCAAACCCACAAGCAAGAAAATTCAACAATGAGGCTGAAATTTCATTTAAATGTATTTCTCTTGATGTGCCTTGATACTGTATATTGTGTGATATAAGGAATGCTGTAAGATTGTTGCAAATTGTATAGATTTTCTTTTTGAAAAATTGTGGGTGTATCTCATATTGTGTAATCGGCTTTCCATTAAACTGCTATGTACCCTTTTGTTTGCACTGCTCTAATTATGAGGCCAAGTGGAAACTTTTTTATCCCAGACTTACACTATCCTGCGATCAGAACTTAGTTTGTTTTGAAATTCTAGTGTAGTGTTAAACCTGTGGATTCATCACTAATGGCACCTTAACAAATGCACAAATCTTTATTTCTAACTCTTTAAACAAGTAAATGATCATACTGGAAAAGAGGAATCTAAAGTTCATATCAAGGCTTAGGCTTCCATTCCACTCGTCTATATAGGCGAGAAATTTAAAGATGTCTGCTGGCCTTGAGGGGCAAGATGCAGACCATGTCTCTCTACAGAACTCCATGTCAGATGGCTTATGCAGAAATTAAGCAAGAATTCACTTGCCTATCCTTTGGGCTTTGGAGGTAAGGTGCCACATTGCAAATTTGTCCCTATGGGGTGGTTTGGGGGAGGGGGGCTGGGGATTCTTTCTGGTGATGTGGAGTACTGTATGCATGATATGCGTGGGGGGAAATGGAGTGCTTGTTCTATAAAGTTAAAGGAATAGTATTTTATTGTTCACAGTCCACCAGAATAATTGTGGATGGTTCAGATATGTAGTCTGCTGTTGTATGCTATTTAGTGGTTAGAACTTCACAAATCATCAGATACCTGTTTTTAATAAGGCAGACTTTTCTTTCAAAGTGAATTCAAAGGAGAGAACAGCTGTTTTGGCTGCTTAAAAATCATGTTCAGATTGACACTTAAAATCCCATTTCAACACATGGACTGAAAGCCTGCCTCCCCTGTAAATGGATAGATTCTATTTTATGATATTTTTGAGATTATTTTTCCACTCTAATCACAAGTTTAGAAGAATAAGGAAAAAAATACATTCCGATATTTGGGATGCCCTCAGACTGTCAGCCTTACAAATGTAGAAAAGTTTGGAAACTATACTTTTGATGTCAAATCATACTTGAATAGAAAATTGAGCTCTTCATCGAGTACTTCTTGAAGTTTGCACACTTTTCATTTTCAGGTCATCAGTGTTCTGTTTTGTTTCCCCAATTTATGTAAGCGGTCTTCACAATAAAACTAGCATGCATCTAGCATAGAGAATGTGGATTTTACGCTTCAGAGATCTCCAAAAACTTGTACAGCATCCACATATTGCCATTTCCCACTGTCTCTGCTGGGCATCTACTGAGAAATACCTTGGCAATCTAGCCATGATAAGGTTATGGCAGTTTAACTCTGGATTCAACTTTTTATAAGCATGACCCTTAATTACAAACTTATGCTAAAATGTTTGGATGTTTGCTTTTAATTAAATAAACCACACCCCTGTAGATGCCATTTACATTAATGGCTTGAATTTATCCCTCCTTATGAGACCATAAATGATTATTGTGAGGGAGAGATAGGGTAAGTTGGATTTCATATTTTCTCCCTCACTGAATTTTGGAATTCACAAGTATTTATTCAGATCTCAACCATTTATAGGTGTCAAGCCAGAAGTGAAAAACGAAGAGGAAGAAAAACGTCGGATTGAGGCAAGAAGAGAGAAGCAGAGGCGTAGGAGAGAGAAAAACAGTGAAAAGTATGGTGATGGTTACAGGTTTGTGGTAGAAATGTCGTGAATATATTTTGTCCCCGCCATCACTCACAGGCAGTGCAACAGCAACAGGTCCTTCTCCTGTCCTGTGCTTCCCTCCATAGTGTCCCATTTCTGAATTCTGATACTGCAGGTAGTATGTGCAGTTTCAGACATCTAGGGACAAGGTTACTGCTCATGTCTCATGGTTTATGAGAAGCTATTAATTATATCTTGAGCTACCAGACATACAACAGTAATCCATTATAAGAACAGCAAATCTACGTAGGCAGACAGTGCTATGGGATCTCCCAATTAGTTACATCATTTAGAAAGTGGGCTCCTTGGCTTTGCCTTGGATAGCCTCCTAAGTGTGGCTTAATTGTTTGACCTGTGAACTGGTAGAATATATTAACTGAGAATATGAGAAGTTACTTGCCCTTTTTGTGGACTCAACTCCATTCATAGATCTTTAGATAAGCATATGGAGCAGAGGTCCATCAGTGGCTATTAGCCACAAGGTATAGATAGGGACTCTGGGGCAAGTGATGCTCTGTCATCTTGGTGCTTGGGGGGGGGTCAATAGTGGGAGGGCTTCTAATGTCCTGGCCCCACTGGTGGACCTCCTGATGGCACTGGTATTTCTGGCCACTGTGGGATACAGAGTGTTGGACTGGATGGGCCTTTGGCCTGATCCAACATTGGCATCTCTTATGTTCTTAGGATCCAAGCAATAATTAGCCATTAATTATGCTATATAAATGCTGATTGTTTTATTGCTGTTAAGTGTTTGAGAGAACATTTCGCTGCTGATTATGAAGTTATCAATGTCTATATAGAATTCCAGATGAACTCACCAAGTGTGCTGTTTGTTCTGTTGGCAAGCCAAAGGTGGAAAACGAGATGACTTTTAAAAAACATAAGTTTTGTTTTCATTAGCTGGAAGGTGAAGTAGACAGAAAGTTGTTTCTTTTCCTTTAAATAAGGTAGCTGGAAGGATGAGCCCTGCTGTGGATAGCTTAGCCTGATTTCATCAGATCTCAGAAGCTAAGCAGGGTTGGCCCTGGTCAGTCTTTGGATGGGAAACCACCAAGGAATATCAGTTTCTATGCAGAGGCAGGCAGTGATAAACTACCTCTGAACATCTCTTTTCTTGAAAACCCTACAGAGTTGCTGTAAGTCCACTGTGACTTGACAGCGGGGGGGGGGGGGGCAACTGTGTCAACCTGCCATTTTTTTCTCCTGTTCTGTTGTAGTCCTGTGATTATGATACATAACTAATTCTAGGAGGTGCCATTTGCTGTTCTCTATTTTTCTCAACTTCCAGATGGGAAGCTGTATTGTTCTGTGGCAATAAAAAACCGCAGATAGATTATTGTGGCATTGGCCTTTGTGGTCTAGTATGGGAATCTTTGAGCTCTAGTCAGTAAACGTTTATTCCATATTAAACCTCCTGGTCTTTTAAGTACCATAAGACTCACTTTTTTTCTTCTTGTATGTGTGGTATTGTTTGTATTTGCCTGTTTCTTCTTTTCAAAATGGTCTGATACTCAGAGCAATTTTAAGTACCCCTAGTAGGAGTCCCCTCCCATCCACACTGGTCAGTAGGCCCGGCAGTTGATCCTGAACTGCTTTTGAAATTCCTGCATTCAAAGCAGTTCGGCTTATGGCATGTGGGATAGCACTTCAAGAAAGCAATTCCAAAGTCTCTGAGCTGTAGAACTCGTTGTAGAAGTCTTCAGGACTTAAAATTGTATGTCATGGAAAAGATGCAAAGAACATGTGGGAAGGCAATTTTTGCCAGTTGTCCCCCTGTTCCAGCAGCCCTTCACCTTACCTCTCATGCCTCTCATAGGGGTTTGCTTGTTCCCTGGAAGCAGCATTAGGGGGAACTTCAGGGAAGTGAGAGGCTGGGAAGTTGTACTTCTGGGCATGAAAATTAGACAAGATCTAATCCTTAATGTTATGACATGATCTTAAGCTGAGTTTATTCCAAAAGAAACACAACTGTGTTTCATAAGTTTTGTTTTCAAGTATATTAGCTAATGATTGTACTTTTAAGAGATCAAAATAATGTAAATCCGTTTGTATTATTTGTATTAGAGTGATTTATATAACATTTTGACTAACACATATGCAATTGCATGTAATGTTAATGAAACAGAATTTAAAATGTTCTGATTTTAATAAAATCTGCTAATATATATTTGTACATATGTCTTCTGCTAGAATGGCATTTACCTGCTCATTCTGTAAGTTTCGAACCTTTGAAGAAAAGGACATTGAAGCTCATCTGGAAAGTCCTGTGCACCAAGAAACTTTAGATCATATTCAGAAACAAACCAAATTTGATAAAGTTGTGATGGAGTTTCTGCATGTAAGTTAGCTGTCTTGTCTGTTAATGAGGATGTCACTTGCATATTAACTGACAAAAACAAATACATTGGACTTAATCTTTAAATGTGGAAAGTGAACAAAGAGCAACAATGCAGAACATTTTCCTAAACATAAGCATGGGTAATTATAACTTTTTGAACACGTTATTTAATAGTGTTTACATCATAGTGCATATTAGGATTTAAAAAAAATAATACAGGGATCAAAAGATCTGCTTAGGAGTGTAACAGAGGCTTGTCAGTAGCCTAACTGAATCAGTATCTTTTGCCCTTGACAGGGTGACCTCTTTGTTTCATCACATACTGCTTTTGGTTCGCCCCTCAATTTTAAAAGCAGTTCCTATAAGACCTAGGATGGTGGGAATGGGCTGTTTGAGGATAAAGTTCTTTGGGTCATTGACTTGTTGGTTCATGAGTGATAATTTCAGGCTGTGGGAAGTGAACTTCGGATAAGATAACATTTAATTCCTTAAAGTGGTGAATACTTGCATTCTAGGAATGTATGGTGAATAAATTCAAGAAGACGGCTATGCGTAAACAGCAGACTGCCAGCCAAATGGAAGCTGCCTTGTTGGTTGAAAAAGATATAATGGAAGGTAAGTGTCTTTTGAAAATGTCAGTCGTGTGTCAGAACAGTGATTTCGTTGCATAGGCGCTGTCCAGGCCAACATATTATACAGACCAGCTAGTTTCTGTACCCTCCCACTAGTTAAAATCAATAGTTTAGAACTGCTGGTTGGCAGAAGAACTAATCAAATGCTGTCATGAATAAAACCATCACTAGCCAGAAAAGAATTAGCATCTGTGGGTTATGTATTGATGAATAAAACAGCCTTCAGTTGCCTTCTAAAGACTGCTGGGGTGGTTGTTCCATAATCATGGGGCTGCCACTGTAAAAACGCTGTCTTGTGTATCCACCAGACAAGCATCTTTGGTCAATGAGCAGTCAAGAGGGCCTCTTCCTGTGATCTTAGTTCCCAGGCAGAAACGTATGGGAGAAGGTTATCATTCAAATACCCTGGGAGCCAAGCTATGTAGGACTTTAAAGATCAAAACCAGCATCTTGAATTGGGATTGGGAGTGGATCAGAAGCCAGTGTAATTTGCTGTAGGATTGGGGTCACATGATCCCAGTAACTGGCCCTAAACAGCAGTCTAGCCACAGCATTCTACACTAGCTGCAGCCTCTGAACATTGGTCATGGGTAGCCCCAATTGGAGGCCATTGCAACAGTCTAGTCTTGTATCTACTAGTAAATTCTGTATTTGTGACTATTCACATATGAACTTTCTTAATCTATAATATATAATATATATAATATAATATAACATGCAGTAACAGAAGCTTGGCAACCTACTGCAAGGTTTCAGTGGTTCACACTTAACTGATATCTCTTGCAGGAAATAACTTTTTAATATGTAAATAATAGTAGTCTCAGGTGGAATTTGAAAGTATTATGTGCACATATGCACTTTGCTTCAGAGTTTCGCAAGTATATTTGTTTTATATATTAACTGTTTTACATTTAGATTTCTAGTTTGCTTGAGGTTTTTCTCAATATTCTGTCTTCAAAATACCTTTATATTTGTTAGGTGTTACAGCTGATGATCATATGATGAAAGTTGAGACTGTTCTCTGCTCTGCGTGCAGTGTGTATGTTCCTGCACTACATAGTTCTGTTCAGCAGCACTTAAAATCTCCTGAACATGCAAAGGGAAAACAGGTAAGACTTAGCTATTCAGTTGGTGGTTTTGTTGATTGTTTGAAAATTGTATAGGTTGCCTTCCAGCATGTTGTCTTATGGAATTCATGTTGCTTTGCCAGGGATCTGATCATTTTGAGATTGCATTAGCATGTAGCATCTGAACAGATCATGACCAATGTTCCCTCTAAGCTGTGGAGTCTTGTGAGCAAAAATTCTACTTTGTGAGCCACTGGCATGAAAGTGGTGAGCGAGCAATTTGGCTACTGCATAAATTACTTTGCTCTGGAGCCATCCTTCCTGAGCTAAGACAAAAATGTGTGAGCCGGAGGCTAAAAAACGGTGAGCTAGCTCACACTAACTCAGCTTAGAGGGAACACTGATCATGACTATATTACATAGTGCAAAGTAGGTAGAATGTTGGAAAGTCACTGTAAACAATATCTATTAATGCCATGCCAACTCTTATATATATGAGTGGAAGACCGTGAGAGTACCTCAGAGTGTGTAGCATGATGCTTTTGGAAAACCAGATGTCCCACACTTAAATTCTGAATACTTTCTGTGCAGATTTACTGTACAAATAAAAGAGTGCAATCTGAGTTGTGATTAACTATGCCTGGGAAATTCTTTATCATTGGCCATACTTCCAGTGACCCAGTCACTAAGAGCTGGAAATGGGTACAAAATCAGGAAGGGGGAGGAGTAAACTCCCCCCCCATTTTTGCAATGAGAATTGGTTTTTAGATGTTTATAAATAGTGCTGGAAGTAACCTAGGGCAACCATATATTAGGGATGTGAATTTCATTACTATGTATTTAAAACATTAATTTAAAATATATGTCCACCTTTCTCCTCAGCAACTCAAGTCAGTTAAATAAAAAAGCACCCGTTTAAATTATTTTAAATGTTATTTAAAATAATGAAAGTATTAACAAGATCACTAGACCATATTCTTACACATTATCAGTTTTGCTAGTATTTGTTAAGAAAAATCAAAGTGTTAATGTGCTCCAGTATCAGTCCTGTGCCAGATGATAAACTGTAAGGGCAGCATTGGAAAATGCATGTTCCCCGGGAAAAGATAATCCTGAAATGCAGTGGTAACTCTTTGCCAGTTTTGCAAGCTTTGGAAAACATTGTGCATTAACTAGTCACCACTCCAACACACTGCATTCTAATGAAGGGCAAGGCTCCCTGGAGTATGTAATGGCGTTCTTAATTTTCCTGCTCTGATCCTTTGTTTGATTGGACTGTTGCCATACCAGCGAATAGATTGTTAGGAAATGAATGTTACATTTCTGGTAACATAGATTATTGCAGTTATGGTGAGGAGCAGACATCAAGAGTCGGAGGGAGAGAACACCGGAAGCAGGGCTGTTGACACCCATCTTGCCAAGGGGCTGCAGAAGTACCTACAGTCCTCTAGAAGCACATGTAGTCTTAACAGTTATGCAGAAAAAGGTCATGAAATAATTATGCCAAACATGTTTAAACATTTACAGCAGTATATAAATGATAATAAAATCCTTATAGTTTACATGTTAATTAATTAAAATCCCTATCATACCTGCAGCTGCTAACACAGCCGTGATTCTCAGCAGTGGTTTCAACTCAGTCATAAAATCATTTAGACTAAGACCTCTAATGTCATTCACTGCTGCTACCACCAGGTTAAAATATCTGATGTAAAAAAAGTTTGGTTTTCTTAGATTCCAGTAAAGAATTTCCTTCATTTCAGGAAAAATTAAAATCTTGTCCTTCAGTTTACAGGCACAAGGATTTCTTCCCACAAAGTGCAATTTCCCCCTCCCATAGCAGCTTTAAATGGCCCGTGAAGTCCTATGCTGGGGAGAGGTAGCCCCACAGGAACAGGATTTTGAGTATTTTGGGCTGCTGACATAGGGGGAAATCATGCTACGTGGGTAGATACCTTTGTGTCTGCAGAAACATGAGTCTGGATCCAAACCTTCAGTTGTATCGAAAAACTTTTGGTGAAAATCAAGTTTTATAATATAGAAGGGTTGCTGCCCATCCAAAAAATTGATGAAATTGGGATTATGCAATCTGTTTTTCTTTTGCTACTTCTAGATCAGCTATAGTGGAAAGTTTTGTCTGTCTTTAGGTGCTTACACTTGCAGATCCCCACATTTCATATTATGCTGTTCTTGAAGGTCTAGTAGGAATAGGAAGGTGCGAAAATGTTGTTCCCTGAGCTCTGCTGTACATGGTGCTTGGGATCTGTAAAACCTAAATCACAATTTACTTATTTAGGACATTTCTGTGCTGCCATTCTAGAGATAATTTATGCGAGGTGGTTTTATGAAGTAAAACATAGTGAACACACCATAAAAGTTGTCAACAGTTAAAGCAAGTGTGCTGGAGTAGCCTGAGGGTCTTTAATAGACAATTACCTTCTTCCAGTAAATTGACAGTGCTGCTGTTTTAGAGAAGTTTTAGCTTAACTCTCGGATTCTTCCAAATTTTCTGAAATAAAAGTAAATCTGCCATTTAATTTCAAGCTTAAGCCAGGTACTTTTATTGCTGTACTTAAAGCCAGATGTTTAAATAGTACACAGATTAAACTCTTCTAATTTATATCTTTTCCTGGATTTTTTCTCTTCAAGATACTCATATGTCTGATTCTATAACCTTTGTTTCAATGTACATTGAATGGCACTTCGGAATAAATGTGTAGTGTTTGCTTTCACCATGTAATTTCATTCACAGACTTACAAAGAACAAATTAAGAGAGAGAGTGTTCTCACTGCTACCAGCATTCTGAACAACCCTATTGTGAAGGCACGGTATGAGCGCTATGTTAAGGTAAGCAGTAGTAGCGATTTGAATTCTCCATCACTGGTCACGGATCTTAAGAAAACGTGAAATCGGCTCCTCCATGATTCTATCAGCTTAACTTAATGAAAATGAAATCTTAAATTATATAGTTTGAGTTGTAAAACTTGCTTAGCATTCGGCAGTTTGCATGGCCGAAACCTATTAGCCAACATCCAGTACCTCAGCTTTTGGCTTCAGTTAGCAGCGGCCTTAATTCACTCTCAGTAAGGATCATGAAATGGAAGCAGACACCCAGGTCTTAAGCAGTGCAAACTTCTACAGTCCTATGGGATTTACACCATAGAGTAATTGGAAGGATTGAGCGTCTAGTATACCCCTCAGGAGACATGGACAGGGTTGCCACTTTCGAGAAAGTCAGGGAAAGTCAGGGAAATTGGTCTGAAGTCAGGGAAATTGTGATTAAAATATATTCAAGCAGTAGATTTTTGACCTGCTTGCTGCAAGAGCATGATCTGTTCTTGTGGCAACTGGAATAGAGAAGTAGCAGAATACAAGTAGAACTTAATGATGCCCTTTCCCAACCATTTTAGATGGAACGTTTATATAATTTTTAGTGTACCTTTAAAACAATACAAAAATTTATGTCATTTGTTAGCATTCAGAGTTTACTTGAATTGAAATTTGTATCTTGGTGTAATTTTTGGTTCAGTTGCAAAACAGATGTTGCTGCAGTTAATGTTGAAAGAAGCTGATATTAAATCTCTTTGACAAATATTTTTGCAGTTGAGACTTGTGTAGTTGTAGAGTGGAACCTTACCTTGCATTAATGCAATACGTCCTATTTGTGGGTATATTTGAATGGTGGTCAGGGAAATTGACAAATGTTGGTCAGGAAAAGGAAAAATAAAATTTTAGTGGCAACCCTAATGAAGCACTGGGGACAGATAGTCAGATCTTGCTTTCTTCAAAGACCCATCAACGCCTGTTGTAAAGCCCCTGAAACACTGCCAGCTCAGTGTACTACCTGTCTTTCATCTGGATGGACATTGCAGAAGAGAATCAAATGGCAGTCATACAAAGCCTAGCCTCTGAAGAGGCTGCTTTATCAAGTGTTGTGCTAAGTAGTCCAGTGGGAGAGGTTGGTTCTAGAGTGAGGGGGAAGTGGATGGAACACATGCTGGTTTGTTTTTGTTGTGTGCATGTTTGTTAATCTGAAGTCGTGGACAAACTGGACCAGTTTAATGTGGCAATTCTAAGCAATCACTCCATGCAAGCATTCCATTTAATCTTTAGTTCTTGTCTGTAAATTGCAGTTTAGCATGTTACCTTTCTCTACATTGTTACTGTGACTTCATTGGAATTAAATGCAAAAGGGGTGGATTGTTATTATGTTCACTGGTGGAAGGTACTTCTGAACTGGAAGGTGGGGAGAGATTTCAGGGGCTCAGAAGACTGCAGTGGGAGCTGGATTCCGCTCAAACTTAATTGGATCCACTCTGATACATGAATGATAGAAAATACAAAATTGGAATAAATATAAAATGTAGGCATTACCTGTCATGATTTGAAAAATGCTCTGGAAAAAGCACCTTTGGAACACATGAATTGAAAATATTTTTTCTGTTTTGGAATAATGTCATTATTTTCTTCACCATTGCTACTGCATTTGTAAGTTTTCTGATAACTGCTGACTTGTCAGGTTTTTTTTAACTGTCCCTCCTCCCCACACACACACAGGGTGAAAATCCATTTGAAATTACTGATCAGAATCCAGAGCAGCAAGGAGAAGATGACAAAGCTGATGAGCCCGTAGAGGAGGAAGAGGAGGAGGCAGAAGCTGAGGAAGAGGAGGCTGAACCTGAAGAACAGACTGACTTCACTCTTGACCAGACAGAAGATAATTAAACTGAACACAAGTAGAGAAAAATGCTGCATTGTTTTTCTGTTAATGTGGCTGTGTAAAGCTTCCAATAGTTAAGCATGAGATTGTGTAATCATCTTTACCCTGTGCATGCATTCCATTCAGATTAATAGGGATTTATGTAATTTTTTTAGCTTTGCTCAAATCTGTAGTTAAAGCAATTTTTAGTTGTGCTTTTATAGTAACCAAGTGTTAGTACTGATACATTATTGTATTGTGTATGTTTTTAAATGTTGTTTTTCCTCCCTTGTGATGTTGAGAATTTGATACAATGAAATTGATTAGTCATTTCAGTACAAGGATATGTCAGCTAAATGCTGTGTGACTTAACAGCATTATTTACTTCTAGAATGTGTAAACTAAACTGAATTATGCTGGGAGTGTGGCTGTCTTTTGGACTGCATCACTCAGTGTAAAATACATGTTATGGCACACCTTGCAGCTTTTTTTGTCAAAATATACATGTTTGTAGCAATAAAATCTTTTGGAAATTTCAGTGTCATGCAGTTTAAGCTACAGTTCCGTAGAGGTGCTTAGAGCTTTTGGGAGGGCTGCATGTGGGGGAGTGGTGACTAGGACTTGTTGTATCTTTACCTTTATGTTTCAGTGCTCATGAACACATGCTGTTATGGAAGTCATTGAGCTAGTTTTCTAGCAGTACTAACCAAATGTGAGTTGCAGTTTTAGTGAAGAACTAAACCAGTTACACTAAGTTGTAAATAGTCAAGCACTCGCAGGTAAAAGGCTAGTTGTCCCTAGTTCCTTGCTGGTTCAGTCTCTCTCTACTGGTAACAGTGATAGTTGCATCCGTGAGGTAAAAGGAAGGCTATCTTGCTATAGTCAGTGCTATTCCAAGCACTGAATGCTGTTGTATTTCATGCTGTGTTCCACATATCTTCTACCCTTTCAACATCTTACCATTATCAGGGCTTCGGAGCAGTGTGAAAACCTGCACATTAATCTGTTGTGTGGGCCTTAGTGATTAAGAAACTAATCTTTTTATTGATCAGTAAGGTTTTATGCTGCCTAGAGTGAGGAAGTAGAAATACTTTATGGTAAATCCTTCTGGCTAAGATACTGTAATCAGTAGATCAGTCTTATATTCTCTCTTGGAGCTTTTAATTTTATTGCAATATTTTTCCATCTGACAGATGTGTCAGTGAGAAGTGCTGATGGTCAGTGATCTTTCGCATTTTTTCCTTTCTCCTCTACTATCAGCAATCTCTTCTCAGGATTGGACTAATGTGGACTACTAGCTAAACAGGGGGCGGGGGCAAACTTTCCTGGTGGAAAAAGATGGAGGTGATTTCACTCCTTCCCTCTCACTCTCCCAGCATAGTTTCTGCAACCATGACAATCCACTTCCCTCAGGTTGGATACGGGGAAGGGTAGGAGAATGTTGGAAGGATTCTCAGTCCTTGTGCCCCTCCCTATAGACCATGGGCTTTTATATACCTCACCAATATATATATCATTCCCAAGGTGGCCCCAACTGTGGATACTTAAAGCCAGAGTCTGGGGCCATGGACAGACAAGACCAGGTGTGTCGAACTCATTTGTTATGAGGGCTGGATCTGAAATAAATGAGACCTTGTTGGCCGGGCCATGTGTGTCATAAAATGTAATGCCAAGTAGCGGAGATATACTTTATAAAGGAACCAAACACAAAGGGCTTTTTACTTCAAAGTATGCTTAAACCATTAGCACTCTTGCAATATTTTGTTTATTTAACAGTGGCTGCGGTCACACGCAACATTAGCCACGCAAGAGATACGGAAGACAAGCGGAGTTTCCGGTCGCGATCTCACCAGCACATCTGGGAAGCGTAGTGCTTCCGTGGCACAACTGAGGCTTCCTGCCGAAAAAGCGCAGCAAAAAACTAGTACCTTGGAGGTACTAGTTTCCAGAAACTGCGGGGCAAGGGCGGGCGTCTGATCGCGTTTCCGGTGGTATCCGGCGCCCGCCCATGTCCCCTTGCGGAAAAGGGTTTTTTTTCCCCCACGTCTCCGTGGATGCGCACACGCACCCAACGGAGCATGCGCATTCGTAGTGTACACAAAAAAAGAAAACCAGTTCGCCGCGCCGCGCGCTTCTTCATTGCGCGCAGGCGTGTGTTGTGATCGGCACCTCTCCCTTGCCATGGAACCTCCACAGAACCTCCACAGTAGGTCTGATCGCTTTACTGCATGTTAGTTTGCCCCGGGGCAAACAGCCACACTTCTCCTCTGCAGTTTCCTGCCCGTGTGGCAGGGGCCACTGTCTGATAACTGACACCTTTTGCTCTGAATTATTGCATCAAAATGTCTGTGCTGTTGCAATCTTGAGTATGCTGTTCAGGTGTGTATCTGTAAACCGCGAACCTACGATGACGCAGCAACAGCAGAACTGTAAGAAGAAGCAGAAGACAGCCAGTTCCACTGTGGGCCTGATAGAAGCCCTCTGGGGGCCTGATCCGGCTCCTGGGCCACATGTTTGACACCCCTGGACAAGACAAATCTTCGTACAAACCGAACAAAAGCCCCACATTTTCAGTAAAATATGAAATCTTTAAGGGGGGGGGGGTTTAAAACTCAAAATAAGAGAAGTAGGGCCTGTAGCTTTAAGAAGCAAATGCCCCTAATGGTTGTTGCTAGGCAACTACACTGTTGCCAGCTTTAGGCTTTGGTTTCTGTCAATAAAAAGGGAGAGAGCAGGGCCCTTTCCATTGGCCTTTGAGAGAGAACTCATCAGGGACATGCCCAGTTGTAATAGGAGCTGGGCAAGCGGCTACCCAAAACTGACTGCCAGTTTAACAGAAGTCCCCACGACCAAGCCACTGTAGTGTCGTGGTTAGGGTTTCAGGCAAGGATCTGGGAGACCCAGGTTCCAGTCAATACTCAGCTCACTAGGTGACCATAGCCCAGTGATGGCGAGCCTTTTAGAGACCGAGTGCCCAAACTGCAACCCAAAACCCACTTATTTATCACAAAGTGCCAACATGGCAATTTAACCTGAATACTGAGGCAAAATCAACATTAGAACCAGGAACCCACCACCATCAGCAGCGTGAAGCAAGGCAGCCTATTCTAGGGTTGCCAACCTCCAGGTGGTGGCTGAAGATCTAGGATTACAACTGATCTCCAGGTGAAAGATCAGTTCACCTGGAGAAAATGGCTGCTTTGAACAGTAGACTGTATGGCATTATACCCCACTGAAATCCCTCCCCTCCCAAACCCGACCATCCTCAGGCTCCACCACCAAAATCTCCAGGTATTTGTCATCCCAGAGCCGGCAACCCTATATTCTCCCCACACTAAGTGTTCTCCTGAATGGGTGAGGACCAGAGCAGAGGGGTTGTGGTCTGAAGGGAAATATTCCTGGCAGAGATTTCTAAAATCAAACATGACCCCCTGTCTGGGTTGCCAACTCCAGGTTGCAAACTACCTGCAGACTTGGGGAGAGGGGATCAGTGCAGAAACCCTCAGCAGGGTATTTAAAAAACTCCCCAAAAAACCCATTTCCTCCAGGGAAGCTGACCTGTCACCTGGAGACAGGATGTAATTCAGGAGATCCCCTGGTCCCACCTGGAGGTTAGCAACTCTACCACACACACTTCCCCCCTCCTCTTACCACGGTTTCCCAGCACTAACATTCTAGGAGGCACAAGGAAGAACGCGGCTCCCTACAACCCGGACAAGAACGCCCTGCCCCTTTCACAGCACATCCCAGGAAGCCACCCCGTTAAAGGGGCAGCAGCAGTACGTTTCCCACGCCAGGCTGCTGGCGCAGACGGAACCACCCCAGCACCTCGCCTTTCCGGCCTCTCCCTTACATGAACCTGGTGCCACTGGTCACCAGGATCCACTTCCCGAAGCCCGGCAGCAGCGCCTCTGCTCCTAAGGGGTCGCCAGACATCATCCGTAAGACGGCGGTGCCTTCCCCTCCCGCGTATCACTTCCAAGGCAGCTGCCACTGCCTTTTTCTGCCCTCAGCCCAGCCTGCCTGCTTGCCAGTCATTCCCACCCACCTCCGAAGCAGCTCTGTGCTGGGGCGACGGCTCGTGTGCCCACAGAGAGGGCTCTGAGTGCCGCCTCTGGCACCCGTGCCATAGGTTCGCCACCACTGCCATAGCCCATCTATACATTCTCAGCCTAACCTCATAGGGTGGTTGTAGGTGGGTTGGAGGGTGTGAAGGAAAGGAGGAAGCAAGGAAAGGTTGATATGGGAGCTGTCAGAAAGATGGAAAGAAAATAGTGTGATGAGGGAATATAGGGGAAAATGAGGCACCCTCTGCAAATCCTTGCAGATTCCCACCATGCAACTGGGTGATTGTCCCATTTTCCTCAGCAAAAACTGAAGGGGGAGGTAAAAGTAGATTGGTTGCTGGGTGGGAAAGATGAAGTAATAAAAGGGAGTGACTATGGGGGCTTTAAGGCAAGAGAAAGATGAAATAGTGGGGGAGGAGAAATAAGATGCCCCTGCATGTCTTTGCAGGTCCCCTGTTTGTACATTATTTGGTGTACAAAATAAGGTGATTTAGTGAATTAAAAATACACCAACAGTACAAAACAGTTTAAAAACCCTTCAAAATCCTTAGGAAACCCTGGATGCTTAGTGTGAAAGCTAAATAATTTATTGGGGCTTTAAAGATATTTGATCTTTAAGGAAGTAACACCATATATTTGATGCAGATCATTAGAATGAATGTCGTTTGACCAGCCTAGTGAAACCCGAAAAAATACTTTTATATAGTTAAGGTTTTTCTTTGTCTTGCATACTAAAATTGGAGTCCTAGAAGCACCCTGTATGTCTGTGTTGCAGACTGAACTCTTACTATGTAGTCCAATCTTCAAGGGAAAATACAGTACTCTGAGGATGACTAAATCTAGTTGCCGAGGTAGCTACGGAGAATAATAAGACTTTTTTCTCCACATTGGAGTGATAGTGGGGAGACTGCAAGACAGGCTGCAATTGAGTGATTTTGGGGACATTTTATAAATCGCACAAACGAATAAACACATTTTCTTCCTGCTAAAATTCAACTTTAAAAAAAATATATCCTCCAGAAGCCCCAGGAAACACCATTCATTCATTCATTCATTCATTCATTCATTCATTCATTCATTCATTCATTCATTCATTCAGCTCCTATACTGCCCTCCTCGCAGAGTGGCCTCAGAGCAGTGTACAACAGTTTAAAATAAAAGAATATATTAAAATACAGCCTAATATAAAAATCATATAATGTGAAACCTACATGGCGCCGCAGTACATACATTTCTGACCACCATTAGTGGGGGGGGGGGAGTGTGAGAGACAAACTAATACCACCAATTGCTGTGTTCCTCCTTAATAACCCCCCATACACCCTTTTGTAGTTGATATTTTTGAAAGCATTATTTTGATACATTCAGTTTGCCTAAGATAATAAGTTAAGCCCTTCCCCCCACTTCAAAATTAATTAGCTTTTGTGAGCATTCCTCTAGAGTACTCCTACATTCTTGGAAGGGTT